CAAATTTACTACAATTTTACAGCTTTATCAACATAGGATAACCGACAATAATAAGCAATAAATTAAGGTTGAAATTATGAAAACTATTTGCTGAATGCAGGCAATCGGCAGCAACAAAAAAAAAAAACAGAGGAAAAAGGATTAAACGAAGAAGAAAAAGAAAGGGAAGCAGAAGACGTTAACGATAACGATATTTGTAGATGCTTTCCTTCCTCTATTGTTGTTAAATTTATTTTTTAGCATAGAGCTATCCACAATTATTAATTGTTCAAAATATCAGTTAGTTAAAAAAAAGGAGATTAATAAACTGGATAACAGTCTTTTGTTAAGGTAACGTTTAGAAAAAATTTATTCAACACTGCAGTAATCGTATCATTGTCAACAGACGTCCAACAACAGGCAATAATAAATCAGTTAGTTTCTGGACAACAAGAACTCTATTTTAGTCTAGAATAAAAACTAAAGACTGGCCAAAAACTACATATAAGTCTACAACAGTTAAAACTGTCAATAAAGTTTTTGAGCGTGAAAAATAAGTAGATTGCTCTAACAACGGTATACAGCATTGTCATCAGCCTCAATTAGTCTGTGTGTATATTCGTCGGCGTTGTTTAACTTTGTGCAATGTCCCGAAAAAAAAAAAGACTATAAAATTAAAACAGTTTTATGTTAGTGATTAGTTAAAAATTTTTTTTAATGTTATCAAAAAATGTCTCTTTTTGACAGTTTTGCTAGGACTAAATTTTAGTACACCATAGAACATTAACTGTTCCAAAATGTTTCTGCCAATAAGATCAATAAGCTCAAAAATGATGTTATTCTGGAAAACAGAATCGTCTCCAACAACTGCCACCATTATTACAAGTTTACGTCGCTGTCATCACTGTCGTCACCAATATTCAAAGTTAAACAGTACCTTAGAAAACAGAAGAGCAGTAAAATAACTTTTTAGTTTTTTTTTTTTTCTAGTTTTGCTTTGTTTCTGTGTTATTTTTTAAAATCTATTCAATTTTCTTCCGTCTTCTTGAAGTAAAGAAAAACGAACTAATTAATTGTACCACTAAAAAAGTGCCTTATTTGCACTATTTACAAATGTTAAATTTATCTCAGCTTTATTTTTATTGTCTATTCATTTAGCAATAAAATCAGTTTATTTTTGTATAAA